CCCCCCCCCCCAGCCAGCACCGGCACCTGGCGGTGGTGGTGGTGGCGGTGGCGGCGGCGGCTGGTGGGTCTCCCAGGGATGCCGGCAGCCCGCGATGCAAACGTTCCCGCAAGCCGAGCAGCTCGGTAAATCCTCCGCTGTAGACATGCCCAATTAATAAATGATGAACTGAGGCTAATAAGCGGGCTTTAAATATTAATGGGACTGCGCGAGCGGGGATAAGAACGGCAGCGAGGAGGAGACGGAGCGCTGCAGGGGGGGCAGGTGTTGCCGTTCCCCCTCCAGCGGGGATGGGGGGGCTCAGCCGCAGCCTTCCCCCGGCCGTGCCCCATTAACCCTCCTGTTGAGCCCCCACCAACAATCCCAAAGCGATGCTGAGTGGGGTAGCGGGGGTGGGCGATGGCCCCCAGGGTCCCACAGCTGGCAGAGGGGGGACAGGGCTCCATTGGGAGGGGGAACCCCCCACTCTGCTGGGATCCACACTGGACCCCCACTGCTCCCCCCACAGCATCCCACCCCGCTGCAGCGTCACCCTGCTGTGCCCCTGTCCCCCGTGGAGTCCCAGTGGGTTGCCCTGGGTCCCAGCAGATTCCCTGGGGTCCCAGCAAGTCCCTGCAGGGTCTCCATCATCTCCCCAGTCTCACCTCAGCCTCTCCCCATCCCCAGGTTACTACTACGACCTGGACGACTCTTGCGACGACAGCGACGAGGAGGAGGTGCGGGCCCATCTCCGCTGCGTGGCTGAGCAGCCCCCGCTGAAGCTGGACACGTCCTCCGAGGTACCGCTGGCGCTCACTGTCCCCTGTCCCCCTGGGAAGCAGCCCCTCCTTGGGCACCAGGTCCTGGCACTGCGGTGCAGCCACCATCCCCAGCTGGCTGCAGCGGCGCCAAGGGGTCAGGGATGGGGATGGGGATGGAGATGGGGATGGGGATGGGGCTGAGAATGAGGATGAGGATGGGGATGGGCATGGGGATGATGATGGAAATAGGGATGGGGATGAGTATGAGGATGGGGACCAGTCTGGGGGTGACCCTGCTCTGCTCTCCCCCTTGGCGCCCCAGAAGCTGGAATTCCTGCAGCTCTTCGGCCTCACCACGCAGCAGCAGAAGGAGGAATTGCTGAGCCAGAAGCGGCGCAAGCGCCGGCGGATGCTGCGGGAGAGGAGCCCCTCGCCGCCGACGGTGCAGAACAAGCGCCGCACGCCTTCCCCGCGCCTCCCGCTCTCCACCCGCTACAGCCCCGATGAGATGAACAACAGCCCCAACTTTGAGGAGAAGAAGCGCTTCCTCACCATCTTCAACCTCACGCACATCAGCGCCGAAAAGAGGAAAGGTAACAGCTATGCCCCGTGCATGCTTGGAGCTGACCCCAGCTGGTGGGCGGGGGGGTGTCCCTGGTTTGGGGGTGCCGTGGAGGGGTCCCACCTGGGGCCGTGAGCTTGCTCTGCTGAGCAGAGGCTACACTAAACCTCAGCTTCCCATCCTGCAGACAAGGAGCAGCTGGTGGAGATGCTCCAGGCCATGAAGCAGAAGACCACGCCAGCCAGAAAAGCCCCCGGGGGGCCACCCCCAGTGCCCCCCCCGCCGGTAAGCACCCCCTGGTCCTCCCCTGGTTCTTGGCTGGCTGGGAGCATCCCCTGCCCAGCGGGATGGGGGGCACGGCTTTGCTTTGTGGGTGACACAGAACCCCACCGGTAACCGACTCCGCTCCTCCTCTACCCAAAGAGCCACCGGTGCCGCCGCTCCTGCTGGATCCAGATAAACCCGTGGGCATCGCTGTCTCCGTGCCGGAGGGGCAGAAGACGGCAGAGCCCGGCAGGTTAGACCAGCTGAGACCCCAAGAGCTACCGAGGGCTAAGGAGTCGGCCGCCGTGCCGGCAGAGAAACCCCGGCTGAGCGATGGGCACCCTGGGAAGAAGGCACTGAGCATCCTCAGCTACGTCAGGGGTCCCCTCCCCAAGGACATCCCGGTGCCGCTGTCCCACAGCATGAACGGCAAGAGCAAGCCCTGGGAGCCCTTCATCGCCGAGGAGTTCGCCCACCAGTTCCACGAGTCGGTGCTGCAGTCCACCCAGAAGGCGTTGCAGAAGCACAAAGGTAACGGCAGGGATGGGAGGGAGCGGGCTGGGTACCACCGGGGCAGCATCCCAGCAGGGTTGGCGGGGGGGCGGGTTACAGGCAGGAGACCCCCCTCGTATTCCACCCTGGGGATGTGAAAACCACCAGCAGCCTTGTTGCTGGAGAATCCCAGGAGCATATTGAAGAAGCTAAAAAGAAGGTGTTGGGATAATACAGCTCCATCCCCCCCCCCACCTTCAACTCATTTGTTTCAATAAATGAGGAAAATAAAGTTACCCCGGTGCACAGGGGGTGATGAAAAACCCGTGGAAGATGCTGCAGCCCCCCCCAAAATGGCCCGGGGGTGGCAAATTAGTACCGCGAGGTGAGCGTGTTTCTCGATGGCAGCCTCGGGGAGGGCAGCGCTGGGGAGGGGGATGCAGGGGGTGGGAAGGGGGACGCGGAGGGTGGGCAGGGGGCTGATGCTCGGTGCCCGCAGGGGGGACGGCAGCGCTGACGGCGGAGCAGAACCACAAGCTCGACGCCTCCATCCACTACAACATCCCCGAGCTGCAGGCCTCCAGCCGCCTGGCTGCCCCCTCGCACAACGGCACGGCCGAGGGGCCGCTGCCCCACCGGGCGCTGCCCCCGCTGCCCCACGACTCAGCCTCCGAGGAAGAGGAGGAGGAGGAAGAGGAGGAAGAAGAGGAGGACTACCCCAGGCCCAAGTGGCAAGGGATCGAGGCAATTTTTGAAGCTTACCAGGAACATATAGAAGGTAGGGGATGGGAGGGGATCAAGGGAGGGTAAACCCCCACTTTTTGCCATAGTTTCCCCTGGGTGACACCACTCCGTACCCTGACCGGGCATCTCTGGGTCCTGCTGGGACGGGCTGAGGAAGCACTGGTGGCTCCCTGGCACTGCAGGAGCAGCACAAAAGCAAGAGGCGCTGGTGAAAATTGATGTATATGTGAAAAATTCATGTATTTACAGCTGCCCAGCATCCTCCCAGTGGGACCTGGAGGTTCCCTGCAAGCAGCGCAGGGGCTGGGGATGCTCTGGGGTGCTGGAAGCTCACTGGGCAGAGCCGCGCGCAGGGCTGGCATCCTCCGCGGTGCTTGGGCATGGTCCTGCGCCGTGCAAGGAGCCGGAGGACCTGGCGCTCACCCCCTCTCCTTTCGGGCCTTGCAGAACAAAACCTGGAGCGCCAAGTGCTGCAGACCCAGTGCCGGCGGCTGGAGGCCCAGCACTACAGCCTGAGCCTGACGGCAGAGCAGCTTTCGCACAGCATGGCGGTGAGTGGGGCCGGGGTAACCGGCCTTGGCGACGCACCCGACCTCCTGGGCACCTGGCCTCGGCGAGGCACCCCAGTCCTCCCATAGAGGCACCCAGTCCTCCCGCAGAGGCTCCTATCCCCTGCAGTGCCACGTCTTCCTGCAGTGCTCCATCCCCTGCAGTGCCCCATCTTCCTATAGTGATGCATCTGCATTTCCCCATCCTCCTGCAGTGCCCCATCCTCCTATAGTGATGCATCTCCTGCAGTGCCCCATCGTCCTGCAGTGCCCCATCGTCCTGCAGTGCCCCATCGTCCTGCAGTGCCCCATCGTCCTGCAGTGCCCCATCGTCCTGCAGTGCCCCATCGTCCTGCAGTGCCCCATCGTCCTGCAGTGCCCCATCGTCCTGCAGTGCCCCATCGTCCTGCAGTGCCCCATCGTCCTGCAGTGCCCCATCGTCCTGCAGTGCTCCATCCTCCTGTGGTACCCCATCCTCCTGCAGTGCCCCATCCCCTCCAGTACCCATCCTCCTGCAGTGCCCCATCCTCCTATAGTGATGCATCTGCATTTCCCCATCCTCCTGCAGTGCCCCGTCCCCTGCAGTGCTCCATCCTCCTGCAGTGCCCCATCCCCCTATCATGATGCATCTCCTGCATTTCCCCATCCTCCTGCAGTGCCCCATCCTCCTGCAGTGCTCCGTCCCCTGCAGTGCCCCCCACCCTTTTCCCCCACATTCCCCAGGGGATATCCAGGCGAACCCGGCTCCCCGCACCGCTGGCCCACTGCCTGCCCTGACTGTGTGTCTTCTCCCCTTCGCCGCCTGCAGGAACTAAGGACCCAGAAGCAGAAGATGGTCTCGGAGCGCGAGTGCCTGCAAGCCGAGCTGGATCACCTGCGGAAGTGCCTTGCCTTGCCTGCAATGCAGTGGTCTAGGGGTTATTTCAAGGGGTATCCCAGGTGACGCTCCTTGGGCTAGGCCGAACATATAGTCTAGAAATAATAATCTATTTTATTACCTTGAATATTTAATATTTTTCACTGGGAGGTTTGAAGCTAAAAAAATAAAATTAAAAAAAAAAAACAAAAAAAAACAAACGAGAGAAAAAAACAAACAAACAAAAAACAAAACAAAACGGAGAATGTGCCATGCATGAAGCAAAGGAGCACGGGAACCGGGAGCCCACCCGACGGCGAGCAGACCCCTCCCCGTCCCCGTCCCCTGCCACGCCGCCGGCCCTCTGCAAGC